CCACCCCCTCCAAGTCCCAGCTACAAGAAAAACGTCTGATTTCGTCCAGGCACCGTCCCCGCAGCCTCCCTGCATAGACTCTGGCCAAACTCTCTGCTACCATCTGCTCTTTTCTGCAAGCTTTCCATTAGTGGCAGGCCAAGGAAACCTCCTGGCTAAATCCTGCCGGGGGAGGATTTGGTGCATTTTTCCTGGCATCAGCCCTGCCTGTTTCTGTTGTGGCTATCGAATCCAGCCAGGATCGTCGCGGAAGCAACGCCCGCTGCTTTGGGAAGCCGCCCAGCACCCATGAGGCATCGCCTCTGCCTGCCAGGGTGATGCATATGCATGCTGGGGGCTGGCAGGGAGCGTGAGCACTGCTCCGGGGGTGCTTGAGGTGACTGGTGCCAGGGACCACCTCCTCAGCCCTGCCCTGTCACAGGGTGAGTTGCTCGCTGGGCTGCACTGTTTGTCCTGGTCTGGGTTCAGTCTGATGACGCCACACTTTTTATTCCTGGTTAAAAATTCACTGGAGGCGAGGCACAGGGGTGAAGAGGTGTTTGCTCTCTCCTTCAGCAGGTTGCTCAGTGTGATCATGCAGCGGTGGTGTCACAGGGAGGGGACAGGGATATAGCTGCTACACTTGGCCTTACCCAAGCAAGGCGGAGGGCCAAGACAGAGCAAGAGAGAGGAGAGTAAGATGAGAAGCTGCAGGTTTGCACATCCATTAGCAGTGTGCACACCTCTGTCCCACCAGCACAGGTGTTCCTCCTCAAGGAACCCCACCTGGAAACCATCTGGTAATGGAAAGTCTCCTGCAGAGCCCAGCCTGCATCCCAGAGTGGGGTGGGGGGTTCCCTTGTAGAAGCTCCCAAGTAGCAACAAGCTGTGGAGCAGCTGAGGGACAGAGCCAGCACCTTCCCTGCCAGCGCCACGGCCGGAGCCTGCACCAGCAGACCTCCCTGCACTGCACTGGCAGGGAGATTTACAGCCCGGATCCACCTCTGATGGTTTCATGCCCTTCCTCCTCCTTCATCCCTGCTTGCTCTCCTATACCCTCTCCAGTATTTACACCCAGTACTTTAGCCTCCCGCTGGGGCTGAGCCAAAGCCCTGCCAAACCACACCACTGCCTTCAGGGAGTATTGGAGCGAGTTCTTGGCTCTCCTGGAAGCATGCTGTGCTCACTGGGTCACTTTTAATATCCCTCCTTAAATCACGTCTTCCAGCACTTCATCCCTTTTGGCTCCTATTTATTGACTTCCCAGCAAGTACTTTAAATCTGTCTTGCTTCGCTGCCCAGCTGTAGCGCTTCCCTCATCATTCCTACCCCCACCAAGTCTCTTTCTTGTGTTTTCCTTGTGTGCAGCCCACCATGCCCCTCTGAGAACAGCATTTGTACACTCACCGGTCACTTTTCTGGGTCACTAACCACAGCGCAAGCAAAGCAGCTCCATCTCTGGTGGCACCAGAACCCTCAGCTTTCTGGCAAGAAGCATCACTAGGTGACAATCCTGCTCTTCCCACAGCTCAGGGATACCTGGGGCTGGTGCCCATCACCCAAACTGCCCTCAAAACAGGTTGACTACCAGTGCATGGTGGCAGCTGGTAGGATCCCTGCCCTGAACCCAGCAAAGAGCTGCAAGGTCCAGCTATCTCCCTGCTGAGCTCTGCTTGCTCCCAGAAAAACTGGTAGCCAGCAAGGGTAGTCAACCAGGACAAGTTCACAGGGCTTGGGGGATTTCCAAGCAAAACTCCATCTACTTTGTTCTCTGTTTTCCTCTGTACCCCAGAGAGCATGTCAGCAGAGTCCTCCAACTTTTTTATCCCACTAGCAAGTCCGAACTGAAAAAAATTAAAAGTATTTGACATCCCTGAGGGGAAAGATGTTTTCCAAGCCTCAAGTAAAGGAGCATTTTCAGCTCACATAGGCATCCCAAAAATAGATACAAAAATGCACCAAAGATTAGAGACTGAAGATGCCTTATCTGCTCCAGCAGTATCTGTGCCCCAGTCCCCACACAGCACAGGGACAGCCCCAACCATTTGGCAGGCACACAGATAATCACGCATGGGATCCCAAGGTTCCACTACCTCAGCTTTCTGATCTTTACACCCATCCTGTAGGTACCTGGGGGTCATCTTCTGAGGGGTGCTCAGCCCTCCTTACGACATCAGGGCAGGGGAACAGAGAAGAGACATCACCTACCTGGAGCCTGTGCAGCCAAGTTGTCCCTTTTGAGGTAGCAAGAAGCTGTGATGGATGCAGGCTTCCTAGCATCCTCTTGGGTAGCAGAGCTGAATCCTATTTTTAATTTCATTGCATTTCTCCAATAAAATTCTCATGAGGAAAAGAAAATGTAAGCAAAAAAAGAAAGCGGGGTGGGGGGGGGAAGAAAAAAAATCCTTCATTTCATGGCCACCTGGGAGTGGGCAGCAGCCAGAGTGCTGTATCTACCACACCCCACATCCCTTCAAACCTAGGTACTAGTCATCAGAGCACTCCCTCCCAACCCTGCTGCCCCAGATTGCCTTCTTCCCTATCTCAAGACCACCAGCTTAACTAGCCCCAGCAGCTCCTTCCCACTCTCCTCAGCCATGCTCTCCACCTCAGATAAGGCTCCAGGTGTGCC